ACACTTAGGAATATGTCAGGAAACAGCCCATTGGTCTTTGCAGAATTTTAGATGACTCTCAAGCTTATACAAAATAGGAAGAAAAAAAAAAAGCACTTATCAAAAGAGACTGAGATGCAATATATATATACACACACACACATAGATACGTACAAATTCATATAGATAAATACATGTGCATCTATATGTATCTCTATGTAATATGTATATATCTATATATGTGTATATATATAAAACCCAAACCTTATTTTTCTCAGTTATGTTTGAAGTTATACTTTTTAGACTCTGATTTGAAGTTTTGACCTTGGAAGGGAAAGAGCATTCGGAATGCTCATTATGAATATAATGTGTATAAATGAGAACTTAAAAAAAGAAAACCTGCACCACTGACTGATGGGTAAGGAGAGTCTGGGTCAACTATACCTGTGCTGAGCATAACTTAAACTTTCCTAGCCCATCAAACATGGGTAGCATAACGCGAAACTTGCTGTATCCCGCTATTTGTATTACTCATTCAGGAAGATAAAATGGAAAATTTCCATCTTACACACTTAGTCCTCTTCTTTAATTTGGCAGACACTGACTTTTTCCACTGCATTTCTACCTGACTGGACTCTTGTCGAGTGTGTGTGTGCTCTTGTCAGGCATACTGTTATTGGTGCTATTAGCTCAACTTATCTGCCAGCTAAAGTTCAGATTTGTTTCTGCCTATGGGTACGCTACAGGAACAGGGCCCTGATTCCTGGCTCTCTGCAGGTTTGTAAACTGACTGCTGCTAGATTGAACAGAGCCACACACATTAACAGTTCTGAAGCTTTGCTGTTAAGGCCTCCCTGGGAATGTTCCATGGCTGTAGCTACACTGTTGGGAATGCCTCTGTTTTGAAGGTAGTCTTGAATCTGCAGCTGCGCAGGATCTGTGACTTCTGTCCCTCTGAGGCCTCCTTGCTTCTCCAGTCTTCTCTGAAGGCCAGCTCAAACAGCCAGGCTACTCCATGTTTCCCTGGAGGGAACGATTTCTGCACCCTTCTGCACTCCCTGCACGCTTGTGTTTGTCAACATTGATTACTAGAGACTGAACTTTATACACGTATAGAATGGCTAATCTTCATTGTTGATTCAATTTAGAACCACCTGGGCGGCAAACCTCTGGATGTGTATTTTAGGGCATTTCCACAAATGTTTACGGAGGAGGAGGAAAGACCCACCCTGAGTGTGGGCGGAACCACCCCACAGGCTGGGGTCCTCAGCTGCATAAAAATGAGACAGTGAGCAGAGCAATAGTGTTCCAGTCTCTGAATTCTCTTGACGACGGACTGTACCAAAATAAACCTCTTCCTTGCTTAGGTTGCTTTGTTGGGGTATTTTATCACAGCAGTGAGAAGAGGGAAGTAATGGGACTTCCTGTGAGCTTTCCATACTGTTAGGGAGAATCCCTTTATATTGTATGGCAACAATGTTGAAAGAATCTGGGGATTCAGGGCCAGCAAACTTAGCTGTGCCTGCAATTCTCTCAGGTTCACTGAACTTCACTGTCTTTGCTTCTAGATTCCAGCTACTAATGGCCATTCCCAGGCTGGGAGGAACGATGAGGCGGTATCCTCAAGAGCCTTGAGGTTTTGCTGTCAGGCACAGGGCGAAGGCCTTAAGGAACATCTCCCCAAGTACAGAGCCTGCCTAGTGTGATTCCTTTAGTGTCAGTACTTGGACATACTAGGTCTGCCTGAGCTGGCAGCAGGGCACTGTCTGCTGAGTCAGTTGTCCTGAGTCAGTGGTTGAGACTAATACAACACGGGTCTCTGGAGATGGAAGATGTTGGCTGGGCTACAGTTCCCACCTCTCTGGCTGAGAGGCCAGGCATGATTCCGAAGGACAAAAGATGGGGAGGCTCATGGGGAGGGAAGCGTGACATTGCTGACCACCATCACTTCCTTTCCCATCCCTCTCATCCCTCTCCTCTGACCAGTTCAGTTTGGAAGCAGCACAGATCTCATTCTGAGTCACTCTGAAGTTGTTGTGGTAGCATTCCAGAGTTACAATAACCCTTAGAATATAAGCACATTGTAGATCTAGATTCTTGCTCCCACCCCAAGCATTGTACCTATTTAGCAGTAAATGCATTAGGAATATTAGATACTCATGAAAATGCCACCTGAATAAAACGCTATTTCTACTCTTGGGCTCAAAATAACAAAGGGGATTTTTCAATCTCCGGGTTAATGACTCATAACTTTCCTATCTCGTTTCCAAGAATAACTTATTAAAGTTGGGTATAGAACTAGATATTTTCTCTTGCAGCTTTCATATTCCAATTGTCACAGGTTTCAGGAGTTTTTGCTAGCCCTGAAGACATCATTATTCTACACATTGAAACCACAGCATTTCAACGTTGCCTGAAACACTGGCAACGGTTTCACTTTTCCTGTTTGCTTTTTTCATCCTTCCTCCTGGCTTTACTTCTGCCTGGGGAATGGCATACGAGTATGAAGAGCAGAATTTCCCATGATTCTTTGAATTTTAGCAGCTTGTTCTGCTCCTGACTGCTGCAGTTCAGGAGGATGGGTTTTTATGTGAATGTCAGGCATGTTGCAATAACTAGCCACAATGGAATAATCATGGCAATTTCTACCATTTGGTTTCTTTGTTTTTGTGATGTCGCTGCATGCTTCATTTTATGAGTATTTCCTTTTCTTATGTGTGGTTGAACACATCTATTGCCATCCTGGGTTTGGACATTTGTATTTAAAAGGAGATGAAGACCAGAGAGAAACGGGAAATTGACAGAATGACAGCATAATGCTTACTGTTTTATCCCCTTGCCCTTTACTACTGCTGACAGACACTCTGGTGTTTTATAGAGTTTGTGTCTCCCTCCAAAAGAAATGAGGACTAAGGAAAAGTATTGTGAAAACTAGCTTTCTACTGCTAATGTTATTTATTCTCACAGATTAAGACCTAGTAACATTTCTACTGAAATAAGACACACACAAATTTCCAACAATCTTTTTGGTCTGGTTTTCTGGGCCAAGTCATTCGTTTCCTTGGGGCATCTAGCTATTATAATGCTACATTATATCTGAAGGAGAGTACAATAGTCTCTAAGGGCCACAGAGCTCTTTCTGTGTGTGTTGTATGTGTTTACATGTTAGTGTGTGCACAAACCTGTGCGTGCATGTGGAGGCCAGTGGTCCATAGAGGTGTCTTCCTTGATCATGTTCTCCTTTGGGGTATTTCACTGGACCAGAAGCTCACGGATTTGGCTAGACTGGCTGGCCAGTAAGCTCCAGGGACTGTTTATCCACCAACCAGTGCAGGAATTTCAAATGTGTACCACCATGCTTGGCTTTTCACATAGATTCTGGGCTTTTTACATAGGTCCTCACACCCTTTAAGGCAAATATTTTACTGACTGAGCTCTCTCAGCTAGCGGTATTCTAAATGTCTGTGGCACCTAGTTTATTTCATCTACCAAGAGGAATAGAGTAAGGCTCACTGCACAAACCTGTAATCCTAGCCCCTCCGGGAGGTAGAAGCAGGAGGATCTCTTGTGAGTTCAAGGCCAGCCTAGTCTACAACGCGATTCCAGGATAGCCAAGGCTACACAGAGGAACCCGGTCTTGAAAAACAAAGCAAACAAAAAGACTCACTGAACAAAGGCCTAACTGGAGGATGTGTGCAGTAGACACACTGGATTCCAAGCTGGAAGTCTTTGCCTTCTGTGGCAATCCACACTGGATCCACCAACGGGAGGTCTTTTTGTGACAGGCGTCTGATGGCTCTGATCAAGCCTGGCAGAAGGACAACTTAGGTGGGGTACAGAGCTGGGGATGCTGAACTCTAAGCAAACAGTACCACTGCAGGCATGCAACATCTGCCAGGGTGGTGTGATCCTTGCTCCCTGCCTGTCTCCAAGGAAAACCCTCCCCTTGCTTTCTTCCTTCCAACCCTTGGAAGATGTCACCGGCATCCTCTCTGCCATCCACAGCCAGTTTTGAAATTGCCACCATGGCCTAATCCCACACATTAGGGTCCCCTTTACCATCTTTCACTTTTCTGTTCCCATTCTCGCCCTTTTTTACTACAAGGATTTTCCCTATTGTTCCATAGGATTTGACAACGGGTCCTGTCGGAAGGGCTGACTCTTTATTTAGGTTCAAAAAGAAAGCCAAACAAACAGGTCCAAAAAGGTGAAGAGTCTCTCTGAGGTTACCCCGCTCCGGAGTTCTATAGTTTGGAGCCTGTGTGCAAAGTCGAGAGAGAGAGAGAGAGAGAGAGAGAGAGAGAGAGAGAGAGAGAGAGAGGAGAGAGGGGGAGAGAGAGAAAGAGAAAGAGAGAGAGACAGAGACAGACTCTAGCTGGCCTGGTGACCAGGAGCCCGCCCCCATCCCTCCCCGCCCCCTCCGGCGCTCACACTCAGGAAGCAGCTGGCTGCGGGCCGGCCCTCGCGGCCGCACACATCCACACTCCTCGCCGGGCAGCCTCCCTCCCGCCCTCTTCCCCCTTCCCCTCTCCCTGCAGCCGCGTCCCCACTGCGCCGCCCGGGCAGCCCAGAGCGCGGCGCGCAAGGGCACCGGAGCCAGGGGCCGCGGCGGGCCCGGGTCCAGGCTCGCACCGGCGCTCTCCAGCCGCGACCCAGCTCAGAGCAGCCGACATCCCGAGCCCGGCCCCCTCCACGCATCCCGCCCCCCTCGGCCCGGATCGAGGATGGGAACCCCGGGCCAGCCCCAAAGTCGCCACTCAACTTTATAAAGACACGATTGGATTGCGTTGGTGCGGAGCGGGGACGGCGAGCTGATGCGGAGAGTCGGCCCGCTGCCCTGCCTCCTCCTCCTCCTCCTCCCTGGGCCGTCGCAGCCTCGCGCGTGCACACACACCGCCCCCGGGCCTTTCCGCGCTCCGGCCGCGCGGGCTTGGATGCGACTTTGCGTTTCCGAGGGAGGCAGAGCCCGCGTGGGGCGCCGAGGGGTTCGGTCCCCCCCACCCACTCGTCGCCAGGGCTGTCACGCAAGGGCTGGCCGGGAGAAGGGACCCGCGCGCCCAGCTTTGTTGTGGAAATCCGGTTACCTGGTAAGTGGATGCCATAGGAACTTTGTTCCGCGGGCGAGAGACGGAGAGGGAAGGCGCTAGAGAGTGTGGGGGCGGACAGGCTCAGGGACGCAAAAACTCGGGATTAGGACTAGTTCGCACGCCGCCTTGGGGGCGTTTGCGAGGGTTTGAGGACACGGGAACCGCGACTGCCCAGACTCGCAAGGTTTCCGGAGACCTAGGCACACCTTACTGCCCATCCAACCTGCTGTCAGTTGCCTGAGAGCGCTGAGCGTAGACAGAAAGGAAGGCAGCAAGGTGTGGAAGTTTCGTTTACGTGGGGGAGTCTCCGTGCCTTTTAATAGAAAACGCAGGTTCCCGGGGCTGCACAGAGCCACGCTCGGAGCGCGCACCGCGGTGCCACTCAAGACAAACTTTGGCGAAGTGGGGAGCGGTGGGGTGGCCCTGAGGTCTCCTGCTCAGGGTCGGGGGGCTGTCGTCAGTCGTCTCTCCGGCTCCCACGTGTTCGTGGAGCGCCACGAAAGCCGTTTTCCACTTTGGTGTCTCATCCAAGTTGGGGTGAGGGAGGTCCTCGGCTTTTCGGAGCGGTGCTGGGGGGACCCGCAGCCGCCGAGCTTTCCACGGTAACCTCCCACGTCACGAAATCGCAGACACACTCAGACACCGACGCTTCCCGCCGGGTTCGTCACCTCGCGCTCACATTTTATTTTTTTTATTTAATGGGCCGGGACAAAATGTCACCAGTGTTTGGGAAGTGTCTCAGTCTCGAGGACTTTGTCCCGCTCCAAGGCTCCGGCCCCTATAAATGACCCTGTGTCTATTTTGAAGTCGGTCGGGACCAACTTTCTGGAAAGCGTGAGTGAGCCCTTGGCTCTCCTAGACACACACCTTGCCCCAAGCGACAGTTCCAAGTTACTCACTGGAGCTGACAAGTCACCCGGGGGACGAGGAACTCACCCAAGTGTCTGAAAACCTTGGCCCGGGCGGATTTGTCATCCTATGGATGATTCAAGTGGGTACCTGGAGGTAGACACTTAGGGTGAAGGGTTCGGTGGGGTCGCGCCCTTGGACCTGGTGTGGTGTGTTTTGGGAGGCGACAGCAGGACGTGCGACACCCGTGGGGGCGGGGAGGGCACTTGCCCCGCGGTCGGGACGGGGGCGCGGTGCAGACCCGTGGGCACCGGAGGGCAGCCCCGTAGCTCCCCGCGACCCTCGGCTCCCTAGCTGGCGGCCCGCAGCGGCCTTTCTGCCCCGGACTTACTCAGTACGGGGTTGCACAACAGGAAGCCGGCACGAGTTTGTTTTGTTTTGTTGCGATCGCCCGCTCCCTGGCGGGCTGACACGCCGAGGGTGAGGGGCGGGGGCGGCCTGCGTTCCGCGAACACCGCGAGGGCCATCCCCCCCCCCAGCCTCCACCTCCGGACCCGCCCCTCGCTCACCTCCGTGGACCCCCCTCGGGGCAAAGGTGTGTGGGTGTGGTGGTGGGGGGTGTTGAAGACACCCCGGGGGTGCTGTCCGGTCACTGTCCCAGGCCTGTCTCGGCCTTCAGCCCTCCTGCTGCTTCTGGGTCCTCTGCTCGGTGTACCTGGCTTGGCTCTCTTGACACCCGCTGGGTTCCATGGGATAGAGGGTAGGGGGTCACTTCCGGAATTCTCGGGAGTGGTGCCCTCGGGGACTGCACTCGAGCAATTGCAACCCTCTCTCTCCTGGAGAGGACACCCTCCCAATCCCGCAGAGCCTAGAGAATTGGGGGTGGTGATCTCAGGTGACCCTAGATAGTTGGTGAGGAAAGAGGAGTCAGACAGCACCCCCCTGTGGACCAGTTCCCTTTGGGTTAGGAGACCTGAAGTCCTCATCAGGAACTGTTAAAAGTCAGAGGGAACCTAGGCAGATCTAGACCCAGAGACTCCGTAGGTTTTCTCCAGGACCCCTGCCAAAATTAGGCATCCGGAAAAACCAGTGAGGGCTCACGGCTGCGGGAGAGCATTTCTTGGCCTGAAGGTGAACTCAAGACAAATGCAAATTCTCTTCTGTCTGCTCCGAAGCTTTGATGAGTCACGATTTCTGCATTGGGAAGTAGCCAGGCTTGGTTCCCTCACTGTTGCCTTGCCCATTGGACTTAACTTCTTAGACTAAATTAAGAACTTTGGTTTATTGTAAAAATAATAATAATAATAATAATAATAAGGATTTGTAGTTCAAATCTTAAGGCTCCTTTTCCCTTTTCTCTCCCTCTTGTTTCCATTGAGACTACGCAAAACAGGTGTAATAAACAAAAGTTTGCAGAACAGTAACGAAGGGTAAGCCTGGAAACGTTGATGCGCTCTGAAGAGAGAACCCTGTGAGAGGGGGAACTGCCGACACTTAGTGACCTTTCTAGAACCTGCTACAGTTTCAGCGAGACCAGCTCCAAACCACTCCCCTTTGAATTGAAGGAGGCATTAATTATTCCAGTTCTTACTGCTACTTTGTTCATTTCTTTCATGCCAGGGGCACTCGGCCCTTCTTGAGAGTGATTCATTCGTTCTCTGTGTTCTGGTGTGACTCCCTCTCCCCTTGCTTCCCTTGAGGTCAATTTGGGTAGAGTAGCCTTTTCCTCAATTCATTGATTCTGCCAGTGTTTCCATCAATTCTACTGGCGATTCTACTAAAGTTCCTCCTCAGGTTAGCAGAGGTTGGATACCTAGGGATGGATGATTTGCTTGGGAGAAAGTGGTCCTTACTCTAAATAGGAAGCAACTCTCACGGGTGGACTCTGGAGTCTACCTAGCTGGTGGAATTTTTGCCTGGCCAAAAAAGAATGGGGCGAGTTAAATAAACGAAACGGGGATGTTTTGTAAAAAGCCCTGTTTTTATTTACGGGCAGAGGTGGTCTTTCACAGTTTCAGAAAACATCTCTGTGTTCTCGCTTTTTCCTACTAGTAAAGTAGGCCTGAGAACATTCTGTCTACACTGACCTGTCCTGTCATAGTTACTGATCACTCAGGTGGGGATGTTAGTTTGTAATTTACCCAGATTATAGGAGTTATTTTGAAGGAGCTGATCCAGGAAGAGGCACCAGAGCAAACTCTTATGCTTGGAGAAGTCATTTCCTGTGTTTCTGCAATTATTTTTCTATAGAGGAAGTTATATTATTTGTCATACAGGCTTAACCTTTTTATCTTTGCCTGGTTCATAAACTCATTCAGGACTGAAGAAAAAAAAAAGACGCATAGGAGTCTTTTTAATAAGATACAGTTCTTATTGAAGGAGAAAGACACAAAATGAAGCTTTGGGGGGAGCTGAATTCAAAGATGCCCAGGTTTCAGGTTTTCCTAGTTATCCTCTGACTGTAGGCAGAGTTGACACAGAAGCCAACATTTCTGTTAAGCTAGATCAAAGTATCTGTGTGGAAGAGCACACCTGTTAGCTTCATGAATAGGCCACACCGATGAACTAGCATCCTAGAAGGATCTCTCATAGGCCTGTCCAGGGGCTGCCTCCCTTTAAGGCAGCGTTTCTTAACCTGTGAGCTGCAGCCCCTGGGGTCGCATAGCAAATGCTTACATTGGGATTCATAACAGTGGTAAAAATCACACTTAGGAAGTAGCAGTGAAATAATGTTGGGGTTCACCGCAACATGAGGCACTGTATTGAAGGGTCACCTGTGCGTTTTACTGTGCTCTTGTATTGAGCCAAGTGTCTTCCGTAGTTGGAATAGTTCTAGTTTGGTTTGATCTGCACACAGTTTTTTTGTATGTGAGAGTTTTTGTTTTTTTAAACCATTAAAGGAAATGGGAACAGTTTGGAGTAAAGAAAGTAAGTTTGAGTATTATTTAATGTGATGTGATAGAATTAAGGGAGAAATACAATTGAAACGGGTCATATCTATGCTTGGTGGTAGTCTGGTACCTATTTGAGTAACATGGTCAGTGTGAGTCCAGGGAAAGTGGTGAGGTGTATGCATTGGTATCCCGGTATGAGGGCAGTCCACAGCAAACGTAGCCTGGTTCTAGTCCTGAACTGACTTAAAATTGTTCAACAGAATGTCAAGATGTAGGCAAGACTATTGTGTCTTTCTAGAGGATGGGGTAGGATTTCCATGTCAATTTTTTCTACTTAGAGAAAGGAAGAGAAATGAGAAGGAGTAAACTAGGAAATACAGCTATAATTAAACCAGATCTATAGGTCACAGAGCATGGGACTCTTTTTTTGCATGGTCTTATGTCACTTATACTATATTTATTCAGATATTTATTCAGATAATAACTGATACAGGCAGACTATAATAATAATCTCACTTATGTTTTCTGTATCATATGAATAGCATAGTTAAGTAAGTCTATAACATGGGTAAATGTAGTATTGAAATATAAGTATGATTCAGGTATAAAAAGAACACTATGACAATTTGTGTAAATATAAGGGCTCAGGGGATTTCAAAGATAAATTAGACATTACCACAAAACTCAGTGAAGTAGGAATTTAGACAGGGAAATGCAACACGGGCACGTAGCCACCATGGTAGGAATGTGAAACGAAAATTGTGTGTGGAGTAAAAGAGTTGACATTTGTTGGGTTCTTTTTCGTCCTTGGCACTGTGCTAAGAATGTGACATGCGTTTCCTCGTTCATCACGCTGCAGTGTCGCAGGCAGTGCCCAATGGCGTGGGTATTCCCGTTTGACAGATGAGAAACATGGGGACTGACATAGGATTGGGAAGGTGTAAGACGGGCTTGGAGAGCGAGTGCAAGTGCCTTTAGGGGTGCTTCGTTGGGTAAAACACTTGCCCGGCAGGGATGAGAACCATGCAATGAATGCCCCTAGAACCTAGGTCAACGTGACAGATGTGGGGGTGTATGTACCCTGCGGTACCAGCACTGAGGGGGCAGGGACAAGAGGATCCATGGAAATCACTGGCTAGCCATTGCAGCGTGACTGGTGAGCTCCAGGCCAGGGAGGGACCTTTTAGGAAGGTGGCCTGCATTCCTGCTGTTGACACTGGGGGGGTGGGGGGGTCGTCAGTCATCTGCTTTCCATAT